GTAGTTATCTCCTTCAATAATGATTCCTTTGTAATCAAGCATCCATTCTTTGACCATCATATTAATAGCTAAAATCGATTGAAGTTCCAAAGCCGATGCATCCCAATGAGTTTGAGACATACCAAATGCCAATAAAAGTCATCCTTAATGGTCTCTAAATACTCCTCCAATACATGCCTTGTAAGAGCTATGTTAACCTTGATCGAATCAGGTGGAGGAGGATGCCAAGAATTTGACAACCTTGAAGGTTGATTAGCATCTTCATTACCTGAACACGAGAAACTGGAATTCTTTTGGATAGTTGTAGAACATACAGCATCAGAAGCTATCATCACCATGCTTTTACTTTTACCTTCATGTACAAACAGATTTCTATCTACCCATAAATGATAAATAGAATTACAGAACAAACTCCTCGTCCAAGCTTTTTGATTAGCCAGCCATTCTATGCAAGAATCTTTAGAATTAAAAACAGGAATACAAAATCCCCGTTTGTTTAAAACAGCAAAAACTTCTCTGATTCTCCTGTAACCATAGATGATATGTTTATTGTTCTCTACAACCTCACACCCTCTCGGGCATTTATACAAAACTTTGCAAATTTCTGTAACAGAGAAACTGAAAGGTAGGAATGGCATTATTGAATAGTCTCCACCAGAACAATCTCACCTTCGGACATAGTTTCATCCTTCTAAACCATTTCCAATAGAACACCTCAGTTTTATCATCCAACATAGCTTCGACAACAAGAGCAGATACAGTTTTTCTAGATAATTGATTGTTCAGTTATAGCTAGTTACTTTCCATATCATTCCGAATTCTGATAGATGTGATCAAATTGATCAAATCTATACCAAAAAATCTCCTTAGCTTATTCACATCCCAGTTTCCTTCACTTATAAAACTATCCACAATAATATTCCCTTCATCATAAGGATTGACAAAAGAAGGCCAAAACAACAAACTTTTATCTAAAATCTAATTGTCTTCATAGGTCCTGATGTCTTTCCCATTACTAACCAGCCATCTACTAATGGGTTTCAAGAATTTACCTCCATTACATATGATCTTCCAAGTAGAAAATTTCTTTCCAGCAGCTGAAACTAATCTCATAATCAATCCATATTTCAGAAACAAGAATTTATGCATAAGTGAATCCTTACATTGATTATATCTCCATGCCAATCTAGCCCTTAACAGCCCAGCTTTCTTGGAGCAAGAATTAATTCCAAGACCCCCACAACTTCTCGGTTTGCACAATAATTCCAAGCTGACATAACGCATACCAGCTGACCCGTCATTTTTATTCCAGATAAATATCCTACGTAGTTTGTCAACTTCATACAAAATTTGCTTTGGAACCATAGAGTGAGAAGAATAAAAAGCAGGATATGAAAATAAAACCGAACTGGCCAATGTTATTCTACGAGCAAGAGATATGAGTTTGTTACTCCACACTCCCAACATATTCATAACCTTATCAACGATGAACTGAAAATCAGATCTAGACAATCTTCTTAAAGTGACCATGATACCCAAGTAATTAAACTCTTTAACCTCTTTGTAATTCAGAACTTTAAAATTTTTCTTCCTTCTTCGAGTTCCCACATATTTAACATAAAGGATTCCCGATTTATGCCAATTGATCTTTTGACCCGTCCATCCACAAAAGTCACCAAGGATATTTTTGATAATCTTGATAGATTTCATTTGGCCATTTGAAAAAATGATGATATCATCAGCATACAATAAGTGAGATACCTTTGAACCATTGGAAGAGATACCAACTCCTATAGAATTTCCTCTTTGACTAAAGGCATTTGAGAGAAGTTAAGCACACATTACAAATAAAAATGGAGAAAGTGGGAATCCTTGTCGGAAACCACTTTTAGCCTCGATCATTTTAGAAAGAGAACCATTAATGATGATTGAAAACTTAGGGTCTCTTATACATTCCATCACCAGATTTAAAAATTTAATAGGAAATCCAAAGTAGTCAAAGATTTTAATAAGAGCTTTCCATCCCATAGAGTCATATGCCTACTCCATGTCAACTTTAAAAGCAACCAAGCCTTTATTAGATTTGGAATGTTTAAACATGTGAAATATCTCTTGTGCTACAAGAATATGATCCGAGAGGGATCTACCCTTAAGGAAAGTCGCCTACTCAACTGAGATAATCTTTGGGATCAGCAACAAAATTCTATTGAGAAGAATCTTAGCAACAATTTTGTAGACCGAGTTGCAAAGGCTAATCGGTCTATAACTTGAAGGAGTTAAAGGATTATTTTGATTAGGAATCAATACAATATTCGTATTTTTCCAATTACTATTCAACTTCCCAAACTTGAAAAAGTGATCCAAAGCATTCCATAAATCTTTATTGATAATGTGCCAACAATGTTTAAAAAAAGAGTAAGACATACCATCTTGACCCAGAGAAATGTTCTTCTTTAATTCTTTTATTACCTTTTCATATTCTTCAAAAGTAAATTCTCTATCAAGCATCCTTCTATCCTCATCATTAAGAGTTGCAAAAGCATCAGGCCATCGCTCCATATTGCAGTTCCTCTCTTCCCATTTGCTGCCAAAATACCAAAAAATAACATCTTTAATGTCTTTTGATCTTCCACCATCTCACCTTGATCATTTTTTATTTTATGAATGTAGTTTGAATTTATTCTAGCACTAGCATATACTTGAAAGAATTTGGAATTGGAATCCCCATCAACCTTCCATTTAATTTTTGATCTTTGTCTCCACCAAGTGTTTAACCGGGCCATAGTATTATTCAAATCTTCCGTTTTAGCTCTCAGGATCCACTGCTCTTCTTCTGACAAAAAGCCATTCCCAGCTTCTAATTCCTACAGCCTGAACACTTCAGCTTTAAGCTCTTCTTTTTGAACATTTAGAGTTTTGAACTTAGCCTTACTCCAATAATAAAGATCTCTTAAAGACCTCTTAAGTTTGGTATTAAAATCTGTGGCGGGTCTCCTCTGGTATTTTTATTCCAGGATTTGTTAACCATAGCAACTGAAGCCGGAATAGTGGTCCAAACCTCTTCAAACTTTAGAGACTTCTTAGAAGAGGAATAAAGTTCAACAATTTTAGCATAATAGGACAATGGTCGGAAGCCAACCTTGTCAAGTGCTTTACCACAAGCCTGTATGAAGAATTAAATGCATTAGCATTAACCAAGCATCTATCCAGCTTCCCCAGAACTCTATCAGCTCCTCTCTTATTGTTGCACCAAGTATACTTTGGACCTACACAAGCCACCTCATGTAAATCATTATTACTGATAAATGATTTCGTCTCCCTTGGTCCCAAACCAAAAACAAAATTCCTTTCTCCTTTCTTCTCTTCCTTGGAAAGCAAACAATTAAAGTCACCCCCTAATACTATAGGGATATCAACAGTCATAAATTGCTCCAAATCTTCCCATAACCTCCTTATTCTATAAACATCCTTGCTACCATAGATAGTAGCACTTCTCCAAGTTCCTTTATTGTTAATATTGAGATCTCCAATAAGGAATTGAGAAGAATTTCCAAGCATGCTAAATTTGGCCAAATCATTTCTCAAAGTAACCAAGATACCTCGAGAGAGGCCTTCAGATGGAACATTTCAGTAATCCCATCCTTCACCCACCAAAGAACTAACCGACTTATTATCCACAGCAGAAATTTTTGTCTCCATCAATCCTAGGAAGAATAAGCCATTCTCCCAAATAAACTCCCTCGCATATAGAGAAGCTTTAGACTTTCTAGCTCCTCTACAGTTCCAGAAACCTATAGAAGACATTAAAGTTTCAAGGGGAAGAGGCCCCTAACCTTAGAACTTCCATCTCCTTCCAACTTCCTACTTCTCAGATTAATTTTGATAGGAACCAGATTTTTTTGTTGTTTGACCCCTTTTTTCTACCTTTTTTTAACCACCTTCTTCAAGACTGAATTGATCTTCCAAGTGATTCACCTCCTAGCCAATTTTTTTTCTCCTTCTGAAGTATGATTCTCTGGCAAGTTACCCAGAACAGATTCATCTTTTTCATTCACCACTATCTCTCCTTCTTCTCTTAGGCTGCTAAAAACATCAAATTGATTTGATTTGCATAGAATATCCCCTGTTATTACTACACTTCTTTCTTTGTTAGCAACCTTAGTTTCCTTCATAGTTGAATCTGCTACAGGCTTCTCCAACATGCTGGAATTATCCAACTTATTGATGACGTTGTCTTTAGCAACAAAATGATTTGAAACTCCCACTTTTTTTTATTTATCATCAATCATAGGTTGCCTGACCCATTTATTTTGAAACTTGATTGGTCTACTTTTCTTTCTACCATAGTCCACATGAATCCATGGACCATATTCCTCCTCCTTGTTCTTATTTCCTTCATTCACTACATGAGTAGGACCCTTGGAAATAGATTCCACAGTATCAGAAGCAGCCAATGGAGCAGCCCTGATAACATTTTATTGAACATTGTATTCCTTACAAAACTTCTCTAAGTGGCCTATCCTCCCGCATTTGTAACAAATGCTAGACATTTTTTCATAGCAAACTTTATGATAAAACTTCCCCAAATAGCCTTCCACCCATACACCTAATGAAAGTTTACCATCTAGCTTCAATTTCACACATACCCTGGCATATTCACGCCTCCCCCACTGAAACATATTTTCATCAATCATATAAGGAGTGCCAACATACGAAGCTATTCTACAGACATTGATCATGTCCCAGCTTTGAAGAGGAAGATTAGGTAGTCTAATCCTTACAGGGGCTGTCAAACCTTTTAACGAAGATGGATGGAATTCTGGGGTCCACCTCTCCAAACCAATAATACATCCATCTACATACCAGGGTCCACTTTTTAAAATTGAATCCATATCTTCTTGATCTTCAAATGCACATAGAACCCAGCCACCACCGAGTAGATTCATGTGAAATCTCCCAAATACATTCCACTGTCTTCTTAGCTTCGAACCTATGACATGCTAAGGAGTATTTTCACCAAACACCTTGACTTCCAAAGATTTCATTAATCTATCAGAGTATTCCCTTTCACTCTGTTGATGAAGCGTTACTGTACCATTATTAGAAAAACCTTCTGCATAATCAAAGTCTATGATTTTAACTTTAGACTTCATATTCCATGCATTTCCCATTTCAGGATGCGGAGGGATGATAGAGACCAGATCCTCCCTATTAACACAATTTCCCAGATTGGCTGATTCACATTCTCTGACTTTCTCTAGATCTCCTTTCTCTTGTGCAACACCAGTCATTCCATTAACTTGTTCTTTAGCTTCTTCTTCTTCTAATGCCCAGCAAGTAGACAATGCCTTATCAGATCCCGACAAAGGATTCTTCACCAAATCAGAAATTCCTTCAATAGATATTACATTAACCTCTTTTCGTGAGCAGTTTACTTCTGAAATGCTATTTTCATTAGATCTGGTTCCTTATTCTTCAAACATCACCTTCTTTCCCTTTCCAATGCACTCTGATTATTTCTTAGGAGAATGGTAAGCACCTTCCATGATTACTAAAGGGTTTTGCAGATTTAAACCTTCCTTTAGATTCTAGATCGAAAAACCTGTTTGAATCACCAAATGCTGGAGGAGAAATAGAATGATTGATACGAGGAGGGACCCTGACTGCAGTAGATCCTACCGATCGACTGTCTCCGACACTGATGATTGGCGGACGTCTTCCATCCGCCGCCGCCATCTGAGGTGAACACAAAATTGAGGAAAATGAAACTTCAAAATATCGTTACTTTCTCTTACTAAAAAAAGTGGAGCTTCTCTCTCCTTAAGTGAGAGAAGAAGTCAAAACATAAATGAGTGATTTAGGTTGCATCCCCCAGAGATATTCTGGTTTGTGGCTGATTTATTTAAAAAATATGATTATATTCCACGAAGATGGGGTATTATGATTTTGAGTTTGCCCCAGATGCTACATTTAATTTGGGCACAAAAAATTACTGACCTAAATCTAACTAATACAGTACAAATCCTGACTTATCCGAGCCTGGATTAGGGAGCAAGCTAACCACCTATTCTCTTTAAAATCATGTGTCTGACCTTTTATATAAGATTGATTGGTTATTATTTAAGTTTTAAAGAGTTGGGGCTGATGTCAAATGAATTTCCTATTCGGCCCATTGACTTATGTAGGGTGATTCATGCTTGAAAAAATGTAATTAAAACTTTGAATGCTTTTAATTTATTTGTAATGTAATGTATGCTGGTCAACTTTGAATGTATAAATCAATATGAAATAGTTTTAAAAAGGCTTAAAAATATTTTTATATAGAGATTTCACAACATTTTTTTGACCAAATAGTACCCTAATAAGTCAGATAGTCTACCAAAACACCCAGGCAGGGAGGTGCCTAAAAAGGTAGATAAAATATTAAGATGTACGCATTTGAATTCTCAGCGATCTCGATCTTACTTCTTAAATCAATAGAGTTTATATGTGTGCCTAATTTTTTTTTAATTAAAGTTGAACTTTTTTTGTACCATCATGATTCTATACGTTTTTCTAAACAAAATCAAAGATAAACATGAAAGAAAAATACCTTAAAAAGTATGCAATTTCCTACTGCCAAAATAATTTAAATAATATATTAATAAATAATATTAAATTGAATGTCCATATGGTAAGCACCACTTAATTTACAATCTGGGTCTAAAAAATTAAAAGTGGCCAGGTACTATTGATAGCAATGTAGATTCTAATCCTAAAAATGACATAAGTTACTTTTAGAATGAGATGTTCCTATCTTCAATTCTTCATCCTTTATGAGATCTTAGATTTTGTCAGGTTTGGAAATCCAAATGAAAAGAAACTCCTCTACAAAGGGGTGTTTTCTTTTCTCTTTGGATTTAAAATCATCCAAACTTGGATGTACAAATAGAAGGAAACTCTCCTCTAGAGTATATGTTTTTTATGATAATAAATATTATTGATTGCCCTTTTATTTCTGCTAGTATTCTTTAATGTATACAAGTTTTTATTTTTACTTACATTTTAGATACAACATCCACTATTCTTTGAAGATTGAAGCCTTCAGATTTGGTAGAATATGTTAGGTTGATTGTGTTTATAATATTTATTTATTTATTTTATTTTATTGAGTCATGCTCTATAACGGTGTATGCTAGCTGTATGATCATGTACACACACATGGGGAGGAAAAAATAATATTAAATATTTAAAATGTTATATACATCAAACTATATAATTAGTATCGTACTGGGTGTTGCTATTTTAGAAAATTTTTAAAATATTTTATTTATCATGGAAAATAATTTTGAACTATAACTAATTGTATAGTATAAACACCGCATTGTACTGGATGATCACCTATAAATAGAAACCCCATTGTTCATTTAATTAGGCAAAATTTTATATTTGAAAAAATTCTCTATTCGTACTGTATAAACCAAATCATTTGTATGATGCTTAAAATATTGCCTAATTTAGTCCTATGATTAGTCAATCAATTTTGCTTAATTTTTAATTTTGATCATGTTGTATGAATTGGATCATATTGTACGATTGATATAGATGATATTTGGTCATTCCAGATATTAACTGGATAAACTTCATTTTTAGTTGAACTAATCATACTATACAACTATTAATTCATACTATATGATATGAATAAATTATAATATAAAAATTCCAAGTCATGCTATACTAATAGGAAAATATAACATATATTAGTACACTAACTGTTGATCATACAATATTAATGGGCCAAATTTTGGGTATCATACTATATGATCCTGCGATCGTGTTGTATGATCTTTAATAGTTCAATTAATTTTTTTATATCAAAATTAATCATTCTCATAAGAAATTGTAATAGTATTTTTGGTATACATTGAGTATATTCCTGCATAAAAAATGTGAAGAGAGCCTAGAACTTGGGAGAGAAACGGTAGAATTTGTGTGAGAGAGAAGATCCTTGTAGGTTGCATGGGAGTGTGTGAGGTAGTTCCAAATGGTTGCTCTAGCAAACTTGAACCTAAATTCCTGCCTGTGACAAGGTTTATCTTGAGGGAAGCTTTGTATGGAAGACCTCTATGGTGTCAAAAGACTAGGCTACTCCGCCATACCTAGGAAGATAAATTTGATTTCAGGTTCCCTACCTTCACCATAAGGGTTAAAATTGATTCTAGGTTCTCTACCTTCAAGAGGATGGAAAAAAAATCCATGTTCTATACAACACTAGGAGGGTGAAAATGATTCCTTCTCCACCTCACCAAGAGGGTGTAAAGGATTACAATCCTCTACCGTATGAGTTGGTATAAGAGACTTCTCTGCCTAGTTATGAGGGCTAAATGAGAGACATTATAGTGGTAGTGTAATACCCTGAGAAGAGGACTCTGGTGAGTGGATGTAGGTCATAGTTTGACTATACCACTATAAAATTTTGATTTGTTTATTCTGATTTCTTCTTTTTTGCATTTTACTTTTATGCACTATTTTTAGTTTTTAAGATTACATGATAGATTTAATTCTATGATAATTGCTTAATAAAAATTTATGGCCGATAGTATGTTCCATTGATTAGATATTCATGAACATTATTATTACTCTTGAAATTTTATTCAATTTTACATTAAGAGAGAGTATAGCTTTTTCATTAGTGAGCTTTGGGCTAGTTCATTAAGGTTTCACAACATCCTCGAATTTTCAAGCTTTTCCCTTCTCTTGAATTCTAAGTTTGATATTTAGTATCTCATATTAAAAGTCAACTTCTACATTACAACTCAAATTTAAATACATTACATGTAAAAAATATCTAAAGATTCTAAACACCCTGTAATCCTAAGTAATTATAATCAAAATCATCTGAAGTAGTTAAATATTTGCATTAAATTAAAATCACAGCCATTCTTGGCCATGATCTTTTAATTTCAAAGGGGCTTAGCATTTTTAGCACCTACAGAAAACATTACATCAATACATTAATTTAGTTTAAATCTTTTAATGTTTTCCCCTTTAATTTAGTCCTACATGAGAATGGACACCTATAAAAAAATTAGTGGGAATCCATATCATTCTTAACTTAGTGTTAATTTAATGCCCATCACAACAATTCACAGATTGCACAAAAAATTTAACATTCTTAAGCAAAACATTACATCAATACATTAATTTTCAATCAGTGTATAATGAAAATCACAAAAACTTAGCACACAAGTAGTAGGAAAGTAAACACTTTTCTATCCTAAAAATAGAGTAAGTTGTCCTAAAAAACCATATAAAGTGTGTGGAGTAAGCTATGTGGCTTGGATATGACCTAAGTCGGGTAATTTCTTAGTTGTCTAGTGTTTTAATGTTTTAAAGGTCAAAGAAATATTTTGATTTAATTTTAAGTATTAATTTTATATGGTTGATTTGAAATTATGTTTTAAGAGTTAAATGATTACTCTCTTTATTTATACTAGGTCTGTACAGTTTATTTCACAATCCTTAGAGCTAAGTTAATAGCCTCATAGGCCTAGATTACCTAGTAATAACAAGTATTTATTAATTGATATAATTTGACAAAAATTAAAGGCTAATAAATTTTTTTTAAATCAGATTGATTGGTCTCTAATTTGAGTGATTAGATAATTAATTTAGTTTTTAATCAATCGATTCATGGCATTGTGATGGTGGGCTCGGGAATGAAACCTTCTAGGACATGTAGCCCCGTAGCTCAAGGTAGTCCATCCTAAGAAATAAGTTAAAGTAGTTGAATTAATGGTTCAAATTTATCTAATTAATTAATTATCTATTATTTTAAAGATTTACACTCCATTGAATACATTCATGGTGTCGTTATAGTGGGTTCGAAGGTGAAACCTCCTTAGGACACTTAGCCCCACAACTCAAGATAGACTATCCTAAAAACACCATCTTTGGAGTGCTTGTTATGTACTAATGGGTTGGTTGGTTAATTTTTTTAATCAAGTTAATATTTTCTGGAGTTTTGGACAATTATTAATTTTTTGGAATTTTTATGAATTATTTAATGCATTAATTAAGGGGTCAAAATTTGACTTTTAAAAATAAGTTATGCTCTCAAGTTTTAATATTTTTGCTAAATACTAGACCCTAATGTGAGTAATTAGACTCTAAGTTTGTTGGATTTAGATTTTTCTACATTAATTTATAAATTTTTGTAGTTTTGGCTTAATTTTGTACAGCAATGCACTAAGAAGTTGTTTAACTTTCACTTATTTCTGGTGGTTTGACAATTTTAATAGATAATTAGCCATTAATGGATTCTAATGCCTTTGAGTTGGTCAATTTTAAATTTTATGGAATTAATTATGAGTTTTTTTAAAGTTTTGGTAATTAAAGTGTATTAGAATTTTTTGGAATTATTTATTTTTAATTAATTAAATTAATTGAATGTTGATTTTTCTTTAAAATAAATTAAGCTCATAATTGATGTCTAGATATGGGGATTTTAATTTTCCTAGGTTTGGGGTAAAATTATGGTCAATTGGATGTATAATTTGTAAATTTTGGATTTTGTTTATATTAATTATGATTTTGTAGAGTTTTCAAGCTTAATTAAGGGATTAGTTTCTACTTAATTAAATTCCTAACTTTGTGGCTTTCAAAATCTATAAACTCCAAGCCTAAGATTGGTAATGCCACCATGTTTATGTGTTTTTGGAATTTTACTTGTATTGGATTTATGTTTTAATTCCTACAATTTACCTAAATTCCTCAAAATTTTCCTTAATTTTTGTCCTTAAATGTCTCTAAGTTGCTTGTGTTTACAATCAAAGGGCTCTACCTTAACACTAACATACAACTAGCTACACCATGCGAATCAACAATAAACATGTGACCTAAGTCTACAAGGAAAGGAATAGGTGAATTTCTAAATGTTAACCCATAACACAAACACATCACCTAGAGAAACACTTCCCCACATACTTACCCTTGAAGTGTTATAAAAAAATAAATATTTGCCACAACACTTGTTAATCAAATCTAAATACAAGACATTGCCTAAAAGGATAAGAAGGCAAATTTAATAAATGGGTGATATTCAAATGTCTTAAGTTTGTATTGGGTTTCATTAATTAAGCTCATCAACAATTAATCTTTATTTAAGATCTCCCTAAGAATTGGAAAACTCAAAAAGGTTTAAAAAGCAATCAAGATAAATTTTTAAAAATTTAAAAGTTTTTTTTTGAAAGAAATGCTAAAATGTATTAAGAAAAAACAACCAAAAACCAACAAATCAAGTCAAACCTAAAGCATCACATTCCTCCTTCAAGAAATACAAGAAAGAAGGAGGAATAAAAGCATCATGAAGATCTTCCCACAAAAAAGATCTAACTAGAGCAAATATAGCACAAATATACAATAATTTGTTATCGTCCCTTTTCGAATGAGAAAAAAACAATTTGCTTAAACTCAAGCAAGAAGGCCAAATTATCATCAATTAATCTACTAACCTTCCAATTTTTTACCGCATTTTGAAGCATCTTGATGATATTGAGGTTGTCACCTTCAATGATCACCCCATGAGCCTCATACATCCAACTTTGAACCACATTCTTCAACTGTAAAATTGCAAGTAATTCCAAATATGATATGTCCCAGTGTAATGAATGATTTCCAAAAGTAAGTAAAAAACATCCCTTCTCATCTCTGGCAACGCCACCGATCCCAGCCGAATGATTCCTCAAAAGAGCAGCATCTATATTAATTTTAATCCACCCGGGAGGAGGAGGATGCCAAGTAGAAAACATAAAAAGATGGTTAGCATCCCAGTTTTCTGGTTGGATATTTAAAAAGTTACTTCTCACAGCCAACGAAATAACATTAGCAGCAATATAGTTATCCGAATCCTCAACTTTGCCATGTACTAACTTACACCTGCTCTTCCAAACAAGACTAACCGTGGAACAAAAAAATATTTGCTGAAAGAGAATTGTTCCCCACATGTCTCTGAAGACCATCTAAGCATTCATCAAAACTATTAAAAACTGGAACTAGAAAGCCCAAACTATTTAGTATAGCAATAACCTTCCTGAGCTTCGAACATTTCCCAACTAAGTGCTTGTTATCTTCATCTTCATCGCAACCCCTTGGACAACCAGAGAAATTGTTAAGTTTCCTCTTCACAAGAAAATAGTTAGAGGGAATGGCATCTATACAAAGTCTCCACCCAAAAAGATCAATTTTTGGTTTCAACTTAAGTTTCTTCATCCAATTCCACTCAGCAGTCTCTTCTATATGAACCATAACATCCTCATACGCCAAGGTTGTAATTGACTTTCCCGTAAATTTACCTTTCAGTTCAATAGTATCAGAAATCCTGTCATTTTGATAGGAATTCCACTAATGAGGTTCAAAAGCTGTTCACCAAAAACAACCCTCAATTTATCCTGATTCCAATGGCCATTAAAAATAAAAGAGCTAAGGAAGATATCTGAATTTTCCTTAATATTGACAAATATAGGCCAAGACGCAATACATCTATCCAAAATCCAGGAGTTCTGCATCCAATTGATTGAATTACCATTGGATACTCCCATCTAACAATATTTTTCAGAAAAATGGCTCCCATAGTGATGATCTTCCAAGTCGAAGAACATCCTTTCTTCACTGTTCCAGACCAAAAGTCTCCTCCATACTTAGCTCTAAGAATAAGATTCAAAAGAGTATTTGGCTTTGAGTAAAAATTCCAAGCAAATTTGGCACATAAAGGACCAACCTTCATAACTGCTAAAAATAAGCCTCTACCACCTTCATTCTTCGGTCTACATAGTAAATCCCAAGATGCATAATGCAGGCCAGTTTTACCATAATTTTTACTCCATAAGAACCCTCTACACATCTTATCAAATTCCTTTAAAATACTCAAAGGAACCAACGACATAGTGGATAAAAACATAGGAAGAGAAAGGAATGCTGATTTAGTTAAAACCAGTTTACCTTCAAGTGAAATGTTCTTTTTTCCCCAAGTATTCAGTTTGCTAGCCGCCGCTTCCAATAAAACCTGGAAATCTGAAGCCTTCATTCTTCTCAAGATCATTTTTACATCGAGATAGTTGAGTTCGTTCACAACCGTGAAATTGAGCTGCTTAACAACCTTTTCCTGAATACTCCTCATGGTGTTCTTGCCAAAAAGAATCATGGACTTAGTAGTGTTGACCTTATGTCCCGTCCAAGCATAATAACTGGAAATAATCTTCTTTAACTCCTTAACCTCTTTCAACTTAGCCTCCGAGAAGATTAAAATGTCATCCGCATAGAGTAAGTGGGAAACTCTAGGTGCTAAATGAGAGATAGAAATACCCAAACCATTTCTTTTTAATAATAAAGGATCAGAAAAAATTTGGGAGCATTAAATGAATAGAAATGGTGATAAAGGGCAACCTTGCCTAAATCCACACTTTCCTTCAATCCATTCAGTCTTCTTCCCATTGATCAAAATGCAATACTTGGGATTCAAAACAAATTGCAAAATAAGTTCCAAATATTTACTAGGGAAATTGAAATGAATGAGAGCTTACCTTAACATCTGCCAACCCATACTATCATAAGCTTGTTCCATGTCAAGCTTAATGGCTAACATCCCACTTCTAGACTTGGACCACCTGAATTTGTTAAACACCTCCTTAGCCAAAAGCACATGATCAGATAAAGAACGGTCTTTATTCAAAGCTGCTTGGTCCACCAAAATGATCATATGTATAACTCTTTCCAATCTATTCAGCAGCATCTTCGCAATGATTTTATAGATAGTCATACACAAACTGATAGGGCAGAAGTGAACAGGCTCTTGTGGACTTTTTATTTTCTGGATCAAAACAATCAAGGTCTCTTTCCAAGACCGATCCATAACTCTTGACTTCATGAAATGATCAACAGCTAGCCAAACATCACCTTTAACCACGTCCTGAAAATCTTTAAAAAATGAGAATGTCACCCCGTCCAGTCCTGGTGAAATGCTTCTCACCGAATTTTCCAAAACCTCCTGTAACTCCTCCCTAGTAAACTCAACATCAAGCATAATTTGGTCAACATTACTAATGACAGCAGATGGTATTGTCCACTCATCTAATGAGCATTTTCTTTTTTTGCCATTTCAACTTGAAGAAATCTAAGAAGGTCTTATGTATAACTGCTTGTTCTTCCGAAATAATACCATCCTTAGTCTTAATAAGACTAATCCAGTTGTTACTTCTTCTAGCATTGGCAAAGGTATGAAAAAAAGACGAATTACAGTCACCTTCGTCCATCCATCTTGCTTTAGCCCTTTGTCTCCACCAAGTGTTGAGTCTAGCCAAAGTAACATTAAGTTCATTAATTTTAAACCTAAAAAGTTGTAATCTATCAAAAGAGATCCACCCTTCATCCTCCTCCAGCTGAATTTCCAAAATTTCATTTTTTAATTTATCTCTTAAAAGATTCAGATTCATGAACTTTGCCTTACTCCAGTAAAAGAGACCTTTCAGAGACCTCTTGATTTTTAAATTGAGAGCAGAAGGTAGATCACCCAAGCAATTTTTAAGCCAAATTCTCTTCACCAAAGAAACTGCACCATGGTAAGATGCCCAGGTCTCTTCATACCGGATATCCTTGCTACCATTTTCCACAGGTTTGTAGATGTCCAACAGTATAGGACAATGATCTGATGCAATACGGGATAAGTGTTTAACTATATGAAGATTAATGTTGTTTAAAGCAGAGGAATTAATCAAACATCTATCCAACTTCTCCAATATCTGGGCATTACCAGATTTTTTGTTACACCAAGTGAACCTTGGTCCCATCGATCTCACCTCATGAAGATCAATGATGATCATGAAGTTATTAAAGTCCTTCGATCCTTGAGTTAAGAAAAACTTTTTCCCTCCTCTTTTTTCCGATTGGGAAAGTACACAGTTGAAGTCCCCACCTACTACCATAGGGAGATCAGTTGAACAATGCCTCCCAATATCCATCCAAAGACACTTCCTTTCGTTAGCATATGTACTGCCATACACCGAAGACACAATCCAGCTGCCTTTGCTGTGGACTTCCAGCTTTCCCAAAATCATCTGTGAAGAAGCTTCAATAATTGAAAAAACTGCTAAGTCATTCCTCCAAATCACCATTAGACCACCTGAAAAACCAACTGATGGAACTACAAAAGAATCCCAATTCGAGCCCAAAAATTTCATAAGGCAGCTATTGTCCTGAGAATTAATTTTCGTTCCAAAAGCCAAACAAAAAAAACTCTATTATCCTTGATCACCTCCTTAAGAAAAAGAGCAGCCTCCACCTTCTTGGCTCCTTTACAATTCTAGAATACAATGAAGTCACAGCTTATTGCTAGGGGAAGGTCCCACAACCTTCTTAGCTTTATCACCTTCCATCTTCCTGTTATGCGGAATAATATTACCAGACCCAATGGATTTCAGCTCTTTAACAAACTTAGCCTTCTTCTCATACGAATGGCTTCCACCCATTAAAATGTTGTTAACAGGCAAATCCTTAGATTTCTTCTGAAAAGCCACTGGTTACACCTCCGCACCTCCACCAAAGCCATTTAATGCTAAATATTTATTGGAAATAACAATTTCCCCTTCCTCTACATCCTTCACCTTATCAGACTCAAACACATTAACCTCATTTGATTCTTCTAATCCAAATAAAACATCAAATTTGTTAAGAATATCCACAGCAGTGTTGTCACAAGAAATAATTTCCAGTTCCATTTCCTTTACCACCTGAACTTCCACAGCAGGACATTCTTCCAAACAAGTTCCATTCGTACCCATTCCAGGAATAATGATCTCCTTATTTTTTTTTTAGTTAGTTCCTCTACCACTTTATCCATTAATTCCAAATTAGGAAATCCAGATTTAGGAACAAAGACCTTCTTCATAGGGACAGAAAATTTTTTATAAAGAAATCTCTTGTTCACAGCAATCCTATTGAACTTTTTCTTCCCATGGTTTACTAGAACCCAAGAGTTATCTTCAGCCTTTCCACCTACAATGATAGATTTCCCTGCAACCAATTGAGAGACCTTTCCACCATCCACGCCTGCATGACTAGCCATGCTGGAATCCACCACGACCTTTTTACTCAAATCGGCACATGTTTTAGAAACATGTCCAATCTTCCCACACTCCGGACAAATCTTAGATAACCCTTCATACTCAACTTTTTGATAAAATTCTCCAGCTAAGCCCTTCACCCAAACACCTTGTGGCAACTTCAAATCAAGAGGAATTCGAACACAAACACGAGCAAATTCCCTCCTACTCCACTGGAACGTGTTCCCATCCAGAAGATACGGCTTGCCAACTAGAGAAGCAATCCTACAAATATTTACCTCATCCCAGCACTGTAGAGGTGAATTAGGCAGTCTAATCCATACAGGAGAAGTAATGCCCTTGTGAGACGTAGGATTAAAATTAGCCGACCACTTGTCCAAGCCAACAACCTGCCCCCTAATCCACCAAGGGCCTCCTGAGAGAATACTATCTAAAGCCTTCAGATCTTCAAAAGAACACAAAAACCAGCCAAGTCCTAAACCTGTGATGTGTAATTTCCCAAATTTATCCCACTGCCTTCTTAAATCTGAGCTTATCACATGAAACAGAATATTGTCTCCAAAGATCTTCACCATAATAGCTTTATCTAATTTTGTAGTATTCTCCAATTCCTTTTCAACATGAAGAAGAGCCACTCTACCATCTTCAGACAAGAAAGAGCCAAGGTCCAGATTATCAACCCTCACATTCGGTCATTTGTTCGAAGCCGAATTAACCTTCACATTCTCAACCTTATTCACATCTGAATTAGGATTGGCTAAAAAAACTTCAGGCACAGCCCCAGGAAGATAAACCTCCTTCTTTAGAGACAAATCCACATCCACATTAATGACATCCTCTGTGCTACCAATAACCAGAATTTTAGAGAGAATTTCACGATTAATTGGTGAAGAAGGCAGAGATTTTGAGTAGAAATCTTTATAAGAATTAAGTTTCTTTCTAGCTAATGAAGAGGCCCCAACACCTCGACCCTCCTCCACAAAGTCATAACCAACTTGAAAGGAAGAAATCTCCTTCTTCTGCTGGAAAACTCCTAAACTACCTCCTTACCTTTACCAGGTACCTGAACAAGGATCACCTTCTTATCCAGCAATCCTCCTTCGTTGATAATCAATGGTTTATCTTTCTAACCTTTGAAATTCTGATTACATCCTTCGACAATGTTAAAGCCACCATTAAAAACTTTCGATGAATTAAGAATCAGTAAAGCCAAATTCTTCCTATAATTCATCCAAGCTTCCGTTGGGAGAATTCTCCTTTGCTCCATCAACGCCTTCCCGTCCTGCCGGAGCCCCAGCAGATCGGTGGACTACCCAGCCGCGAAAAGCAAGAACCGCCGTAACAGAATTTTGAAAAACCAGACTTTCTCTCTCTATCACTATGCCAAGGATATAGTGATAATTCAAATTTTAAAAAGTTGAGTATTGATTTATAATATGTAAATTTTAAAATAATATTAAAGTAAAATGAAGTGATTCTAAAAAATTCTTTGAAAATCAAATTACTTTAAATTTTTTTCTCAAAAATATTAAATCATTTGGATTTAAAATTAATATGATTGTAATTATATACTAAATAATTAATGATTGAAATTATTTAATATCTGTACAATATTTTTTTTTACTTTTATTTTAAATGAAGGTTGTAAAAATTCTAAAGTAAATGATATATTATGTCTATTTTTTTGATAAAAAATAATTTTATATGATTTTCTAAAAATTCTTTTAATTTAAACAAATTAAGATTAATTCAATTACTTAAAACTTAAGAAAAATGCAATGGCAGTGACGATGGGTCATATTGAGGCTCCTGATTGGCTAAATCATAACCATGGAGAAGGGGGCGAGCAAACAATAATGCGCAATTGTTAAGTCACATTTGCGGTGATGGTGAGAATTAATGACTAATTATTGCACCAAGGCTATCATTGGCCATCAATGCAGGATGCATTGTCATGTTGGCTTGCATCACTAATTTGAGTCAGAAGAAGGATCAGACCATCATACACTTAGCAATTTAAATAATTGTCACAGATGCCGCCGAATCAAAATCAAAGTAATAGAATAAATCATGTAGTTCAAATTAACTATGGAATAAGGAGAACTGGATAGTTGATCATGAGATAAATGGTCTAGATTTCATACTCTTGCATGGACTATGAGTCCTAGCCCTAAGAATTAAAAATCAAACCATTTTCAAAAATAAACAACCAAATTAAACAAAATTTTAAAAAGAGCTAATAAAGGTGAAGAGCATTTGGCAGGAAATGTTTTCATGGTGTATAATGTGCTTATTGAAATGCTATTTCGCCCTATCTAATACAAGCTAGGGTTAGTGTTTTACACCAATTTACTCAGTGGATTTAATTTTTCTTGGGCATATTGGGATTATTGATTATCCACGTATCTTTCACTAGAAGGAAACAACAGTAGAAAATGCCTAAATTGCTTGAAATAAGGCTTATATAGACTTGATGCCACATTTCAAAAAAATCTTGGAATGATGATGTTTGACTAGTGGTGTTTTACTAGGGAAAGGTGGAGAGAGGTCAAGAGAATAACATGAATTAGGATGGGGGCTAGAAGAGCTCTTGAAGATTTAGATTGTTTTAAATGAGGATTTTTGGGTCATTTGAGACCTAGGGTTTTAAATGGATGGCTTTGATCTATTAGGAACATTGCCATATGAGGGATGTGTCCCAAGCCATTCAGTGACAGATGAAAAGGATGGGTCAGGCTCATCCACCATCTGATGGCTCATGCATTAGGGGGTATCATATTTTCCCTTTTGAGCTAAACCAAGGTATGAGGTTGATTAGATGAACATTTAGAGAGATTTTATACTTGAATGGAAAGGGCTAAGTAGCTTAAATTAAAGAAAAAGGCCATGGCCTATATGCTTTGACCAAATGGGTTCTCTTAAGTTCTTAATTAACTATTTGATCAGTCAAATAGCAAAAGGCAGTGACGTGGTAGGTAAGAGGCGTGAGGCACTATTTGAAATAGGTTTGTGAGGATTCAAGGGGTTACAATCAAAACAATGATGAATGAGGTCTTGCAGGATGGAGTTTGACTAAGGATTTTGAGATGACTTGGTCAAACTCAATAGGGTTTGACTCATCTATGACTAAAATATGTTAAAGGCATTGAATGAAGTGAAGTTGAAGCTTAAAGGAGGTTTGATTAACCATATATGATGAATTGACCAAAATCATGGAAAATTGACCAAGTCAAATATGTTGACTTGGTCAAATTCATCATGATTTGACTCTTTAATGGGTTTAATGCACTTGATTCAAGAATTGGAGTTATTTTGGAGATTTGAAGGATTTCACTATATTGAATTTGATTGAACAAAGTGATTGGTCACAAATAGGTCAAGTTTGACCATACTTTGACTTAGTTGACCAAGTTAACTATTGATAAGGTTAAAATGTCCAACCAAGTCCAAACCACTAGAAGAGGTAATCAGTAGATTTGATGAAGTTTAGAGTTCTTTTCATGGTTGATTTAATATGAATGGGGTTTATGGTTGATATGGTCAACCATGGTTGACTTGGTGAATCATGTCAAACTAGGAGTTAGGTTTAGGTTCTACAAGTTTGATTTGATCATTTGGGGCAAATGGAGGTGGTCTCATGTATTGGTGAGGTTGCTTGGGTTAAAATGATCATTTGGGCCTTAAAGGGCCATTTGACCAACAAGGTTAGACAAGAGCCTTAAATTCAGCCCTAAGTTATCATAATAATGTTTAGGTTGCATTGGAAGAGGTTTCAAAGTTTAGTTTAATTGTGGCATGTTGAGTTTTGGGGAAAAGTCTAAATTTATGCTTAAAGGATTTTTGGCCATTTCGACCCCTGGTCAACTGTGGGTATTAGGCCCAATAAAATATAATTTATTGATTAACATGTCACAACTATTGCAAATTTATTTTCATGACTTATGTTTTAATGATTGACAAATACTATTAATTCTCTTGGACTGCATGTTGCTTCTAACTTTTCAGGAATTGAAGATCGGACGAACAAATGAAGCCAGTTCAAGATTGCGTAGGTCTAGGGTTGAGTCAGTCTGTACTTTGTTTTCTTCTCTTCTTCAGTCTATTTGTAATTGTCAAAGAAACTGATGCTAAGTAACCCTACACACACACACACACTTGAGAGAATTAGAATTTCTGATTTTTATTCATATCGACCAGGATGATATTTACATCATCCTGGATGATCAGGCTTAAAATAAAAAGTCTAAATAAGAATTCTTAATTAAGGCAGCCGTCATTAACAGATCGACCTGGACGATACGTGTATCGGCCAGGACGATAAGCTCAAAATAGAAAGAAGTTTCCGCCATAGACAATTAAGGTATACTATATTTTTAAATTATCGGCCAGGACGATCATCGATCGGC